TCTTCGAGTGTTGGGACGCCCACTGTAGTGAGGGTGGTTTCGACACTCGTCTTTCAATACGAAGACATTTTTTATCCATTTTTCAAATCTCATCTCCTTAAACTCAATTCTTTGTATTGAATTAAAAAGAGAGGATTGGGTGTAGACCTCTTCTTCTTCGAGCGTAGGGATGCCCACTATAGTGAGGGTGGTTTCGACGCTCGTCTTTCAATATGAAGACGTTTTCAATCCCTTCTCTCCTAAAACCTTGGTCTCGTACCGAGTCCATCTCCAAACCATAATAAATCAAACTCTCTTCGTATTGAATTAAAGAGAGCGGATTGGGTGTAGACCTCTTCTTCTCCGAGTGTTGGGATGCTCACTGTAGTGAGGGTGGTCTTGATACTTGTCTTTCAATACGAAGACGCGACTTATTCCATCACCTCTCCTTTCACAACTTCATTCCATAACCTTTCACACCTAAAACCTCGATCTCGCACCGAGTGCATTCTCAAATCATTTCCGCAATAAAACTTGAATGGTCGTGGAGTGGTTAGGCGTAGGCCTTCTCCTATCCCGAGTGCTGACGTTTACCGTAGGGTTCTCTGTCGTAAAGCACTTACCATTTAAAACCAAAAAAAACACTTTAATAAGAGGACGAAGTTCCTCTTTGCATTGAATTAAAGAGAGCGGATTGGGCGTAGACCTCTTCTTCTCTGAGCGTTGGGATGCCCACTGTAGTAAGGGTGGTTTCGAAGCCCGTCTTTCAATGTGAAGACGCCTCGTTCGCCACACCTTTTTATAACAAAAACTTTGAGATAACAAATTGGGTACTACCCGTAGGAGTTACTATCCGAGGACATGTCTCGCCCCTAAAAAACAATCCAATCAATCAAACGTAACTTCTTGGCTCGCATGGCGAAAACTAATCAATCTTTCAAAAAGGATATGTTACGTCCGTTCTACCACAAACAGGTAACGCCTAAGTCTCCAACGAGCGAGCAGCGAAACACCTAACTGCTAGAATGCGCACGATAGCATCATCCATAAGAAAACATCAGCAAACCGTAGGCCGAACTACGGCTGCTCTGATTTCTCATACCAGATGAGAATACATAGGCACAAGACGGCGATGTCTTGGCGAGCATAAACCCCCCCATCACCCGTAGTTTCCCGAACTACGTCGACTCTGACTTTCTCATATTTGTTGAGAATACGTAGGCCTAGGACCGCGAAGTTCTATCGAGTCCTTTCTTTCCCTCGTCACCCCTTTGTTCCCCGTTTCTAACCTTTCTCTTTACCCTTTGAAACACTCTTTTTATAGCATAATCTTTAAGCAAATAAATTCACATCGACAAACGAAAGGTTCCCATCGAGTACGATGGATGCGAGGGGTGCTAATACCTTCCCTTTGCATAACCGGCTTCCGAACCCGCTCTTGGTTGCGAGACCATCTTATCCGTTCGTTTCTTGGGGTTTTCTCGATGTTTTCCTTTCCCCTCATGGGATAAATAAAGTTCGATGGCAACTCTTCTGTCTTTCTTTTCGCCTCCCCGTCGCGCTTATTTTTGAGTAGCGACAGGTAGGGGTAAGGCTCTTGTTGTTGTGATTGGGTTGGTGGCATGTATGGGTTGCAATTTTGGAAGATTGATTGGGTGGCCATAATTGGATGTTGGGTATAACATGGTGTTTGATGTTGGGCATTGGGTTGCTGTTGTGGGTTCGAGGAAGACGCACGTTGCCTTGGGTCAATCAAATATGTCGGCTCAGACACAAATTGTTGTGAGGTTGTAACCGACCTAAACCAAATCATATATTGATAACTTGGTCAAGCCCCTTCCACAATAAGGTCGGTTAAGATATGTTGATGTCGGTTCTTCTAATGCAGACACATCTCTTTCGCAAAGTCCTTCCAATGATTTACACTTCATTGTGTATCCATCCTTAGTTGATGCCAGTCTCCCAATGACGTGAAGGTGAGAAAATACTTAGAAGGGGGGTTGAATAAGTATGAAGATAAAAACTTAGAAGTAAAAACTCAAATATTTTTATCCTGGTTCGTTGAACTCAACTACTTCAGTCCACCCTATCTAGAGTGATTTGCCTTTCTCAAACAAGGACTTAATCCACTATTTAATCAACTGATTACAATAGTAAGCACTAAGAACAACTGTTCAAAGTCTTCTCAAGAACTACTGATCCTAACTGGATCTTCTTAAGGTTTTCTTACAATCAAATGAAATAATAAATACAAGTGTTAAAATACTTCTAATAAAGCTTTATCACAACTGTGATTTTTCACTTAAGATTAAGAACAATGAAATAATTCTAGCAAAAATATATGAGTTGTATGAGAGCTTTTTAATGAATTCTTTTCAAGTGTTTTGTCAACTGAAGAAGATGAGTGGAGACTTGTTTTTATAGGCACAGTGATCCAAGAGCTTTTCACGTTGAGAAGAGTGTACCAAAAAGGTCTGAGCCTTTTTTGTCTTCACATCATGTGACCTTTCCTAGAAGAAGAATGCACAGAGAAATCCTTTTTGTCTGTGTTCTTGTGTCTAGCATAAATAAGGAAAGAGTCGTTTGATTATTCCAACGGACATAATCTTTGAATTCTTCTTCAACAATTTTCAGCAGGAATCATCAGAGTCTAATTTGGTCAGAGCCTTCTGATGTTCATCAGAGTTTTGCTGAATCAGAGTCTTTGCAGCAAGTGTGCTTTCAGCGTGTATAAGTTCAGAGCAGAGTTTTGGGTCAGATCCTCAGTACTGGCAGCGTTAGTACTATCAGAGTCTTCTGAAGTAACTGTGCTTGAAAACTCTTCATACAGAATTCTTCATTTCTTCAGATGCTTTTGGCTTGCTTCAGATCCTTCTGGAGGCAGCGCTCAGAATCTTCTGATGGCAGCGTTCAAAATCTTCTAAGAGATGCTTCTGACGCTTCAGAGCCTTGCATATTTCTTATGTTCAGGTCTAATTTGCTTCTGGAGTGATATTTACTTTAACATCTGCAGCAAACATTTTCAAGCAAATTTTAGAGTATATAATTCTTAAATACAAAATTTCATAATTGTTATCAACAAAACATAGATATATTATTAAGAACCAATCTGTGTTCTAACAATCTCCCCTTTTTTGATGATGACAAAAACATCAGAAATTTTGTTCAATAGTAAAGAAAATAATTATAACTCCCCCTGAGATGATGAATCTCCCCCTGAATTGAATACTAAGAAGGAATAGAAACTTCCCTTTTTGCATGAGTATTCTTTTTAGGATCAGAGCCTGAATGTTCTAAACATTCAATCTTGCTTGTTTTAGAGTCAGAGTCTTATAAGTTAAATATGATCTGGGAGTCTCAGAGTTTCTTTTAAAGAGTATATCAGATTTATCAAATGTTCTGAAACACTCAGATTTTATGTTAGATAAAATTGATATGTCTGAAGTTTCATTTTGGTAGAGTTTATTTAAACAGTCAGATCTATTTTCTCCCCCTTTTTTGTCATAATCAAAAAGTAAGAACTTTTAAAAGACAAATAAAATGAAATACAGAAAAGATAAATGATGGAAAGAAAAACACATAGTCATTCATTCATATAGGTCAAAAGATGCAAAACATCAGATAAGATTCAAATACATGTGCAAACATCAGATAAAAAAAATAAACTAAGTGTGTTTAGACAAAATCATCTTCAACAAATCAGTGATCTCAGAGGACTGTTCTTGCTTTGACATCCACTTAGCCATAGTTTCATTCTTCTGATCTTGTTTGGACATCCACTGAGCCATGTCTTCAGACTTCTTATCTTGCTTAGCCATCCATGACTTAATCTCTGATTGACCAGCTTCCAGAACTGCAATCTTATCTTCAAGGTCTGGATACTCTTTCTTGATCTCAGATGAAGAAGGTGGGACAGATTCTGAAGCAGGAACAGAGTCAATTTCCATAAGGGATTCAGAGTCAGGAGCAACAGATCTAGAGGGATGTTCTACAAGAGTCATAGCCAGAGGGTTGTCTTCAGATGCAGATTCAGCATTCACTTCTGTATCACATACTTCAGATGATGAAGGAGCATCTTTAAGAAGCAATGGTGCAGATCTTTTAACAGTCCAGAACAAACTTCTAGCAGTTTCAGCAAATCTGAGCTTCGCATCATCAGAACATACGTTCTTCAGATTTGATGCTACAGTATTGAATCTGTTGATGAAGTTATTCCAAATAGCATCAGATTCATTTGCATCCATTGTTGATAAACACTTCCTCTGTACAGAGCCTAAATGCATCTTTATTTCTTTCAAAAAACTTGTAAATAAATGATCAACATTCAGCCTAGGTTTTGGTTTTAGAAGATTTTCCAATGTGATTGGCTTGGGTTGAGGTGAAGGTGGAATGGTGAATTTTGGAATGGTGATCAGATGGCGAGGGTAGAAGGGTATGGATGGAGGATCAGATGAACTGACAGTTTTTGATCTGGTTAAAGCATTCAACAGATATGGTTTTGCATTTGATGCATAGGAAACAACATCAAATGTGGTAGAAGAGTAAGGAATGAATGCAGATTTATTAGATAAAAGAGGTTCTGATGAAATCATTTCTGGTAGTTCTTTTATATAGGTTTGAAGAACAGATGGTAGAATGATGGAAAGCTTGGGTTTAAGAGGGGTGATAGTGTCAGATGGTTCAATTCTGGTGTAGAAATTTTTGAATTTGAAACCAGAGGGAAGTTTGTCAGAGGAAAATTGTTTACACGATGCAAAGGATACACACTCAGATGTCCTTGGCTTAGGTGTTGGGATGGGATTGGGAATAAGAATTTTAGAAGAAATAGGTGGATCTGGTTGGTTCACTGCAAGATTTCTGAGAGAGGGAGGTGACAGAATATCTGGGTGTATATCAGATTCTGATGAGTTTTGAGGATGTGGTTGGAATACACGACGTAGAGGACACTTCAAAAACAGTTTTCATAAGTAGTTCTGAATAAGTTATTCATCTGGAATTTGAAAAGTGCGACTTCGATGTACCTTTGAGCTAGTTTTGACGATCCTTGAAATATTATCTTGTGACATACACTCCACTCCAGCTCCAATACCTTCATCAAATAAGAGGAAGAAAATTAAGCCAAATTATTTCAAGGACTTAAGTTTTTAAACCGAGTCTAGAATCATTCTTAGTTTCTTACCAATGTCATAGAACCCGGCTTTTATGTAAGCAGCAACATCAGCAACTGCTTGAAGTCCGGACGAACATTGTCTATTGACAGTTCGAAGTGGCACAGTCTCTGGTTGAAATTAAGAGACAATCACATTGGAGAAATTGTTAGAACCCCAAACGAAATCAACCACGTGAACTCTACGTATAGTGATTTTCATTCAACGAGTTCATATATAATCATGTACTTGATGTCATTGATCGATGAATGATTGAATAAAGCATGGAGAATTTACCTGGGAAACCAGCGTAAAACGCTGCCATTCTGCACGCGATTGCTCTTTCGGAACCTGGTCCTAAAACTGTGCCAACAACTATGTCTCCGACTTCACTCGGTTCCACATTTGTTTTCTCTATCACAGCCTACAGAAAACTCATGAATAAACGCACACAAAAACTAATCGCAAAGTTTGTTCAATAAACGCACACAAAAACACAAGATTGAGTATACGTTTTCAACAGCATGCTCGCCGACTTCTCACTCATTTCAGTTAGTAATATAAGAGGTCAATCAATTGTAAAAATCGACGAATATATACACTTATACTCCATACAAATTGATTAATCAAAGACATTACCTTGAGAACCGGGGCAAGTAGATCATCCGGAAGAGTATCTTTAAACCCCCCACGCTTCGCTTTGCAAATAGCAGTACGATAAGCACTGATCATTATTGCAGTAAAATTAACGTCAAAAGTCTATTACTAACCTTAACAAACCTGAAAGAAATTAACTAAATCTAACTATATTTCATCAACAAACACATACAACAGACACATCACACCGGTACTAATTTGAAAAAAATCAATCAACTCTAACTATATTTTGTCTCTTTCACGTTCCTGAGACACAGACACATATCAAACACCAGACACGCCCTACATATGATCAATCACATTTATATTACTATATAATCAAAAAACTTACGCTACAATCACCACGTCGTTTTCAGATCCACCTGTTTCTCCAGCAGAACAGAATGAAGCCTGAAAAAGAAAAACAAAACACCTATGATCAAAAGATACACCACAACATATAACTACATGAAATTCTAAAAGCTAAGAACATGTAAAATTACAGAAATATCAGTAGATTGATGAGTATGAGAGGATGAGAAAACAGAATTTGAAGGATTTGGGTTTAGATGTTCAAGAAGAACTCTTTGTCTTTCAATTGCTTTCTCCATTTTTTTAGAATTCAGAATCTCTGTCTAACTCTCTGTTCAGTATATCTATAACACTGTTTGGTTCTGTCATATTATATAATGGATCACAGAAAGAATAAGATAAAAATTTATAAAAATATTTTTTAAAATTGACTTGAGTAAACGCAATGGCAAGTTCAATATACAACAATTAAAAGTTATTAAAAAAATTATGATAGTAAATGTTAGTTATTTAAAGCACTTTTCATTTTTCAATGATTCTGAATACACAGTTTTTAAGAATAAGTTTGTTGGTCGGTCAACGTTGGACGGTACGAGGAAGGTTCTAAATTAATTTTTTAATAAATATTTAAGATTTAGTTTTTATATTGAGCTTAAATATAACTTGTTCTGAAAAGCTTCCACAAAGGAACAATCTAGAATTTAGAAAAGCTTCCACAAAGGAACAATCTATTTCTATCCAAATTTTCTTTCAATTTTTCTCCATTACTTGCTCTAAATTTAAACTAGGATTTGTAAAAACTATATAATTCAATTTTAATCAAATTTATTATTTGGTTTATTATTGTTCTGAAAAAACTATACATTACTGTTTTAACTTTACATAATATTTTTATAAACATGTGTAACAAAATAATAATTTGTCCTAATGACAAAAAAAAAGTTTAAATAATTTAGTGAGGAACAAAAATCAAATGCAAGACAACTAGACAAGTAAGTTGCGTTGTCCATCCCATTATTTTTTAACAAATCAAACACATATATTGTTTTCATTTAATATTTTAAATTTATTTTTTAATATATAGCAATTTTGTAAATTAAAATAAATTCTCATTAAAAATATCATCAGAATATATGTAATTTTTCAATATCATTAATAAAGGAAACTTTTTTTTCAATATTATTAATGAAAAAAATAATAACTTTTCACTAATTAAAGACTAATTATTTTTTTAATATCGTGAATGAAATGAAGGACAATTTTTTCAATATCAAAATAGAAATCATTTTACATAGCTTTTCACTAAAAAAATATCATACAATTTCAAAAGATATTTAATGAGAAGTATTCCGATATAATTGTATTGGGTCGTGTACTAAGTTAAGTTTATCAAACCTAAAAGAAGATGGTACATAAAAAGCAATGCAAAGTTCATTGAGGATGGGCGAATATCATAATCCCTTGAAAGCAATCCACGCGAGCACATGTGTAGTGCAAACTAGACTTCAACTACCCCGTGGATATTCACATACCCAATGAGTATGGGTAATGACGTGGAGTTATACACCAACGAGATAGATGGGTCAGTTAAGGAGGAACACCCATTCCCCTACATGCCACGACATTCTTTTAATTCAATTTTAGATATATATTTCTAAATTCAATATTTCTAGTTTTATATTTCTAAATTCAACTTTCAGAAACTATATATTAGTAAATGACACCACATCGTACTTACTGTGCATACATATTGATTTTTTTTATTTATCTAACAAATAAGGACAATTTAGTTATTTTGAATTGAGTGTCAGGGTTAGTTCAAAAATAGTTTCTATCCACACTGCTCTTACATGACATCCTCTCTCTCTCTCTCTCTCACACACACAAACAATAAAAGAAGCGATGTTCTCTCTCAAAACTCATAAATGATGCTCTCTCGGTGATAGTGTTCCCTCTCATTGATATCTTTCTCTCTCTCTCTCTCTCTCTCTCTCTCTCTCTCTCTCTCTCTCTCTCTCTCTCTCTCTCTCTCTCTCTCTCTCTCTCTCTCTCTCTCTCTCTCTCTCATTATAACGCTCTCTCAACATATGAAGGACACCTTTCTCCACTCTCACTAACCAACGATGCAATGTCTTTCCTCTCATCTCTCAGGGAAGACTTGGTTTCTCTCTCAATGAACGAAGGCATAACTTCTCTCTTAAGGATAAATGTTCTCCATTGTTGTGCTTTCTTCCCTCCCTTTATTATTATTATTATTATTTTTTTGTGTCCATTTTTATTTTTGTTTATTCTGTTGTTGAAAAGGGGAAATTGAAAGAGGAATAAGGTTTAGAGTTTATTCTTTCAATTTAAATGTCAGCACACACCTATTCAAAATGAAAGAGGTATACTTGTAACCATTTAAATATTTAGTTTTTCTGTTACTGTAGAAATAAGGATTAAGGTTTATCAGCTTGAGTTCTTGATTGCTTAAACATGACATCATCAAGAAAGTCATCAGAAATTGAAGTAAGTAAGACATCTAGTAATTGTATTTTTACTGTTGTGTTTTATTTATCAATGAAGTCAACAAAAATATTTCATTACTTTTAGATATGAATGAGGCATAGTTATATGCTAATTACATTGGCAATATTAATGAAAAGTTAACACTCAGACAACATGCCAAAATTAAATACACCCCATTCAAAGTAGGCCTTGGATATATTAATAACTTTTCAATCCCAGGTGGTCTATTATGAGAATTAGTAAGTAGATGGGATGCACGTAGTTGAGGATTTACGGTTAGGGATAAGATAGTTTCCTTTACTCAGATTTGTGAGGGCAATCCTCATAGGTAGCTACACTTGTTTTAAGATAGTCAAAACTTAGATTGTTAGAAAAGTATACTTTGGACAGTATAATTGTGTCACATATGCATACCTTATCCCTCGTGACTCAAACATCGGTCAGAAACATTGTTGATTCATATAGAAACTGTTAAATATATGCTTCATATAGGTTTGGTCAAGCTTGTCTAGCTTACTATGTGATAGAGTACCTCAAAAGTTGCATGATACATGAAAATATGCATTATTGCATATTTTAGGTCTTTGAGTCGACTCAAACTTGTTCCGGTCGAATCATACAAAAAACATTTTGAATGGTCTACTCTCAGGAGTGCTCACGTCGACCCTCCGGTCGACTCATACTGTGTCCATTTTTATTTGTCTAATTCTGCATGCTTTGCATCGACACATGACCTGCTCCGATTGACGCAAAGTTTTGTTTTTTGCACAATCTGAAATTCGGGTAAGCTCAGGTCAACCCTCCTTTCTGCGTAGATCGACCGCTCGCGCGTTTTCAGTTAAAAATCTGTTATGTGAAACTGTCTTTGTTGTTGTTATGTAGGTTAATTATTTTTTACTTGTATATATAATGAGTTTTGCTCTTTCTTCAACAAACAAGAAAAGTGAAAATAGATACTGATTGTTCTCATCATCTTCATCCTTTTCCCTGCATTTTCTCAACAACTACACATAATCATTTTTTTTGTGCACTCTGCTTGTTAGAGGTGATAACATCCAAACATATGATTGGTGTAATCGGATTTGGGTTGAGAAATCAGTAGGTTTTTCATGAATAAAATCGTTAGGGTTTTGTCCTCCAAGAATCTTGGATCTTGGGGTTTTTTTTACACGAATTGGTCCATCACAGATTCAGCCGAGCGAAGGTAATCGAAGAACGGGTTGTTATGTCGGTTTAGTAGTTGTAATCGGAGGACTGCGAGAAGAAGATTTGGGTTCGAAGCGTTGGTGATTGAAATCAGCCGAGCAAGATTTGAAGACCGTGGGGTTGTTCAAAGGGTGTTCCGTATTCGAAGGTTTATTTATCGCGTTCGAAGGACTTTATTCAGCTTGAATCAAGGGAAGAGAAGGAATAGGCTCTGCATCAACAATTGTGTTTGATCGTTTGATTTCTATTTGCTTCTCTTCTAAATATTTACCAACAGGTTATATCTATATACAGGTCTCAATTCTATTTTTAGAATTGAGGGTGGACGTACCCCGGGCGAGGACGACAGGGGAACTGCCTCAACAAATTGGTGTTCTCTCTTTACTTTTCAATTACTTAATTTTTGAGTTTGAGTGCAAACAATTGTGTTAATCAAAATTCTGATGTGAGTAGTGCTGAACCATTTTTGAAGCCTATTACAATCCTTGATTGTAATTGAACACTTGAGAACTTCACTCTCATATTGGAATTCACTTGTGGTGCCTTGCACACTAAGTGTTTGACCAATTGTGTGAACAACAAACAATTGTGTTGTCTTTTCAATTTGACTATATTTTTCAAGCATTGGAAATAGTCAAACCTTACAGTGAATAAATTCTAGTTGATGCGTGTTCAAATTAGTGATTCTTAAATCTCATTTTTATCGAATTCCATAGACTTTGCGTATGTCCGGTTTTTTCGGTAAAGGTTCGTTTAGACGAATATAGTTCCTCGACCGCTTCCGCCTAAAAACATTTAAAAACCAAATATTGGTAGTGCCGACTCTGTTTTTAACAAGTGATCTATTCAACCCCCCCCCCCCTTCTAGATCTGCACCATCGTCTAACAAGTGGTATCAAGAACATCAGTTCATTTCGTGCTTCACATATAACTTCTTAGAAAATGGCTAATGAACCAAAAGAGGCTTATAATAGAGCACATGTTTTCAATGGTGAAAACTATAGTTATTGGAAAGATTGTATGCGTGTGCATATAAATTCCATTGATAGGAAGGTATGGAATGTTATTTTGAACGGTCCTATGGAAATAACCATGACCGATGAAAATAACATGATTGTGCCTAAGCCTGAAGCACAATGGAATGACGAAGACGAGAAAAAGTACAATTACGATTGAAAGGATAAAAATATTTTGATCTCCTCCTTGGGAGTTGATAATTACTATAGAGTTTCCTATAGTTTGACTGCTAAGGCTATGTGGGACTCATTACAAGTTGCTCATGACGGAACAAATGATGTCAAACTAGCTAGAATCAATACTTTGACATAAGAGTTTAATCTCTTTCACATGGAGCAAGGGGAAACCATTGCTGACACGCAAAAGAGATTTTCTCACATAATCAATAGACTAAATTCACTTGGTAGACGAGTTTCCAATGATGTTGCTACTAACAAAGTCTTAAGATGTCTTACCAGGGAATGTCAACCAAAAGTCACCGCCATAAAGGAAGCAAATGATCTTATGACCTTGGACCTTACAACACTCTTTGGAAAGCTTCAAGAACACGAGCAAGTGCTTTTTAGTC